TGGTTATTGTTCACATAAATTACACGCTAGTTCAAATTTATAATAAGATCTAATGGATTTCCGTTACCTATGGTTTACACACGAACAGATGCTAGAGTGTACGAGTAGTGATCGTACAGGATTGTAAACTACTTCAACCTATGTGTTTTTACAACTGCATGATAAACTAGGAAGGACACAGGCGCCGATCATACATTATGTCTTTTGACTGTTTATACTTAACGTCGCTTTTCATACGAATCTTATTGAGTACAAGAAGTGATACCTCTGCTTATTGGATACGAACATTTATTGAATATGTCACAATATAATACAAGCTCGAAAATTTTAGGCAATCATTCCTACTAACACTTAGAAATCACAAATGCAGAGATACGTATAAGTAATACACCTACGGAGCTTTAAGGAATAAAGTGGTGCTACTTATTGAACTATTACAAACCAAAGTTTTAACATCCATCTATCTTACTAAGCGAGAAAAATGCCAGTTTGTTTTAAGATAAATAATGTCTGTCTCTTAATGTTGCAATTATTTACATAAATATCAATAACACCTACTGACAATACTGAGTGTATCAGCCTAAAACGATTTTTAATCGAAGTGTAGGGGTTAAATATTTTTTAATAATACCTTTCACGTGGATCACTCTTGTGATACTACGATTAACGATATAATAACTCTAAAAAATACTTTTTATAAAAATAAAAATTAACATTAACGTAAATCGTTGACTCTATGCCCAGACACGTAACGTTACGTATCACACAACCATGTTCTTATTCTCACCAGATCCAACGGTTTCAAAGTCTGGGAGAAATGTAAAAAAATGTAAAGCGTTATTTAGTTAAGTTATTATAAAACAAAGTCATTTGCGCGTTCCTGAGAACCTAATACCACTATTTACGAATATACTGCAGAATACGATACGAATAATTAATTTACTTTAAATAATGATAATATATATGCTATAATACACCGAAAAGGCCAATGAAATAAGTGTTTTCGATGGTTACTTCGATGACTAGTTAGCCGCTGTATTAAAGAAACATTATTATAGTCTAAGAGGGTCATTACGTACACAAGGTTAAACATTTGTTATTTAATATTTTAGTACTAGTTATTACTAGAAAGTTGAAGTAGAAAATATCGTATTTAGGGTATCATATTTTCATTGGTGCCAATGAAAATATGATATGAATGATATGAATGATGAAATATATTTTTCAATATATGAGGCTTTTATGGTGCCAGCCTATAAAAATTCAAGCGGTAGTATTGAGTAGAATTAACTATTTTGAAAATTTACATTATCATTTTTGCATTGAATTTTAATAATTCTTAGTATAATTTGGACATTTACATATTGGACTAGTACTAAAATAATAAGGTACATACAAATATAATTAGCCTTATGTTAAAGGACTACGGATTGCTGCGGATTGGATATGCTTAATCTACGGATTGATCACTTTGATTCGTTGTAGAAACTGTCGAATGATGAATAGGGTGAGTCCTGATGCTATCATAAACTTTGTTCCTAACGAAGTGAACAGAGTTCAATGCTTAGGCTTATCAAATCGATGTTATACGGCATCAACTATATGACCAATTTATATTAAATAAATTTGAATACTTAAATATATATTTGAACCTAGAAAAAAATTAAGCATTTTATAAAATGTAAAAGAATTAAATATAAAAGGATATAATTTAAATCTATATGGCAGATTTATGTACAGAACTTGTATCAAAGTTATATTTTTAAGCGCGTCCGTCATGCGTAAAATTAAGGTAGAATAAAAAAAATGAAGAATACTTAGGTTTTACCAAATTGTGCAAATAAAAAATACTGTTTTTTAACAAGATTTAGAATATTAAATAAGTGGAAATATCACAGATCTAGTACTGTAGTGATGTGCCGGATCTTTTCAAATGCGTATCTGCAGATGCCGGATAGCGAATATGGATTAAGTGTCTAGGTCGACGAATACGGATACGAACCTAAAATGTTTTTTTTCAGTTCAAGTCGGTTTTTTAATTTTTTGCAGTTGCGTCAATGTAACTCTACGGGTATGATATGGTCTCAATGGAGATGGGACAGCTGTCTGATATGGCACATAAATTGAAGCAGTTGAAACTTGCGATTCCATTGCGTTTTATGTCGCAAAGTGTGTATACGTCCTATTCAGTAGATGCGCCGTTACACTAAATTGTAAAGTTGAAATTCTATTCGCCTTCGGAATTGTGTACCGTGTAGTCTTACTAGATTCGGATGATTGATGTGGTTTTTGTAAGCTCCTTAATTTCTATAAATGTCTGCTTAACCCATTTTGTTGTCATAATTTCTAGCGGTGACATGGCATGGTACGAAATTCAGACTTCATCAAAAAAATGTACGCAAAACGTATGAAATTGTACGCTCTTAAAAAAGTACTACAAAGATTTAAGAGATAACAATCACCAAATTATCACCGCTAGGAAGCATACTTTCTAGAGGTAACAATTTATTTCACTATGTAGCAATCGCTGAAAGTTATGAACGTTTCTTATGGTCTTTGACTTTCTTATGAATCAGAAAAAAATTACGAGAAGTGTGTAAAACATTTTAATATAACATGATTTATTAAGGGGTTTGATCAATTATATGCATTAAGCGGTGAAAATATTTAAATAACTTCTAATATTAGTCATTATAAATTAATGCACTTGTAATTGGTATTGCAGAAATTATTTACTGTGATGATTAACAGGGAAAAATCTGCATACTCACTGTAAGTATAGTTTTATATAATACGTTAACTTTTGGCTATTTTTTAATCAGTAGGATGACGAGGGACCACAGACCAGGCAATTAATTTGGCTTATTTGTGACGTGATGACGTCGTTGACTTGCTTCAACAAGCATTCACGATTGCGGAAGATCCTTCTTATCTGGATCACTCCAAAATGGAATTCATTTGGCTTATTTGTGACGTGATGACGTCGTTTACTTGCTTTAACAAGCATTCACGATGGCAGGAAGATCCTTCTTATCTGGATCACTCCCAAAATGGAATTCATTTGGCTTATTTGTGACGTGATGACGTCGTTTACTTGCTTCAACAAGCATTCACGATGCGGAAGATAACGATACTTAGGGGCGGTAATAGCGATAGCGGTAACTTATTAATACAGTCTGAAGTATATATTTCGTTAGACCCGGAAGCACTTTTTGTTATTATCTATAAATAATTTTTTTTTGTTCTTCGTTTATCATGTGTTTCGGAAAGAGCAATATACATGGCGTTGAAACGTCTGTTGTTGTTCTGAACTGACTAACATTACGTATTTTTACTTGCACTGCACGCGAATATCTGAATAATTACTTCAATACATATGTTACGAAAACTTGGGGTGCCGTTGTCAGATGTCGTTATAACAGTCACCCCGTGCTTCTTAAATATTGAATAAGTATTCTATTACATTGTCATCATCACATCATCAACAGCCTTTAATAGTCCACTGCTGACATAAGTCTCTCCGGAGAAAGGAGGTTTTGGCCTACTATACCACGCTGGCCAGACGGGTTGGGTATAGGGTTTGTGTCAAGTTTTCCTTCTCTCTGCAGTGCTGTTGTCCTGCGTAGTTTTTTCCCTTAGTCGGCTCTTACGACACCCACGGGATGAAATAGGGGTGGTGACACTCTGTATTCTTAATCCGTCACCACACGGACTATATTCCATATTACATTGTAAAAATATTTAATTTTAGCAAAATTATCCTTCTATTTAGTAAACGATCCGAAAAAGGAACAGTTATTTTTTTACTTCACTCGGATATATATCCGCGGATAAGAATACGGCAATCCGGCACATCACTACAGGTATGTATGATTCAAAACAAAGTTTTAATTTACTAGTTGTGGGCATATTAATATCATGGTAAGGGTTGTCACAATGTGTCACAAATATCCTACACATTTAGCATACAATTTCACATTGATATTCATAAAGAAGGAAGATCATGTCATTTTACCACCAGTAAGATTAGAGCACATAACGCCAGTATTAAGGCTACAGGAAGTAGCTTTTCCATTTGTATATAGTCATGTCATGTAAATTTCCACAAAACAAAATGTACTAGGTCAACTAGTTTGTTGTCGCGTTGTAAAGACAGACAATAAATATAGATTTACCAACACCCTCTACAACATATCAGTCAATGTTATGTACATTTAGTATTAACTTATTTGATTAAATCACAATTTTTTCTAACACACGCCAAGTATTTAGGACTCTGAAGGCTGGTTGAGTGGGAGGGGGCTATCGGCGCAGGGCGGGGAGGACGATTCGTCGTACGTAATGTTTAAACTTTCGCAATCGCTGCAGAGCGAGCGAGGGCTGCTTTCGGGTCACGTCTCGTAGCGTACGTTTAAAATCGCCGCGCGACACATGGGACATTCCTTCAGTTGTGCCGTACATAGTGAGCAGAATCCCCTGCAACATAATAAATGGTGTTATGGAAGTAAGACAACAAACCAATGCGAACGTTAAATTGAATTAAAGCTGTACGTTTTGTTATTGTACTCATAACTAGCTGTAACCTGCCACTCTTCGCTGTGGCACATTGTGGTTGCATTGATGAGAAATGTACAATATAAGTTAAGCTGGGTTGCATTTCATGTCAAAATTTGAGCTCGATCGGTGCAGAACTTTTTGAGTTCTTGAAGCGTTCAAAAAACCAATTTAATTTTTTTTATAACATATATAAGATAATTTGATTATATAGATAGAACTTGTTGATGAAATGATACATTTAAAGATTGAAAATATCTATAACTTTTTAGGAATATGCTTTTTCATATCTCATATGTCTATAGTAAAAACTACTACTATCCGAATTTAAATTATTACAACTGCTTTCGAAAAAACAAATTCTTTACAAAAAATAGTATATTTATATTATATTCTGAATGTAATACCTATGCATGCATGGCTCAAGGACGCAGCACGCATCATCGTCAAAGCATAGAGTGCAAACTGTCCTCTCTCACACTTGAACACCTCAGCTGCTCCAAATAAATTCGACGTGGAACCACCTACGCAGTAAGTAATTTTAGAATCAGTATTTAGAGTATGTCTGTATTCAAAACACTTAAGTAAGTATTTTCATTACAAATTGTAAAGCTAAACTACGTTGACACGATTGTATAGTTCGTAAAATATAGCTTGATACCGATGACAGCTAGAAGCAAGTCCGACGACATAACTTTGAACCGACGTCCTTAATGACACTTTTCGTTCCACAACTGTCAGTAATACACTAAGAAATGCTAAATATATTTTAATAATAATACTACCTAGTTCTTACTTAGTTAAATTTATTTATAAATTTATGATTACCCGCCTACAAGGTTATTGCAATGGTACAAAAATCTAAGGATGACATGAATCGATTAGCTTAATTTCATTATTTTGTCATTTGATTATTTTGATACAATAATTATTATGGTTTTGGTTTGTCTTTACCGTTGGCTTGAATCTTATATTTATATGAATATAAAATAATATTCTATAAAAGTTTTATAATTTTATTTATCTGAACCTAACCTAACCCGCAAATACGCATTCGTAAGTCAAAGTGGTGGACTGTTGTTGCCTTGGTGTGTTTTCATACGGCCATAGGCCAGCTATGCCAAACGCATCAGTATAGGACGAGCTTTACTGAGTCACATTAGTTCAGAAAATATATCGACGAGTCTTCAACAGACGAAATAAAATTGTCCAGGGCTAAATAAAAACAATAAATCATCACTGGTATTGAATTTTTTACGATGGCTGTAATATGAAATTACATGTAGTACGTGTACTCGTACTATGCTCGAAAATCGTTTCCAACTTTAAATTAGTCAGTGGTCTCTCAAAGATGGAGGTATATTAACGGAACGGAAGTATAGCGTCGTAGTAGGCCAAAAGCTCCTTTCTAAGAAGAGACCTATGTCCAGCTGTGTTGAATACTTTGCTACGAAAATATCTTTTATGACATTTGTGAGGTTAAGAGTAGATCAGAACTGAACTTTTGAACGAACTTTTATTACGATAATTGAACCCCAGGTAGACTGCGAATGAGAAATACAGTGCGATTTAGTTTGTCATTAAAAACTTATAATACTCCTGCAGATTGCAGGAGTATTCCAAAAACGATGACTGAAGAAGCCGATTTGGGTTGTACGACTGTAATCTTAAAATACTTATTTGTTATTTTCTTCTAAACCTATAATTTAACACAATATTATCAATCGATTACAGTTTATACATTGATCGATTTAGCCAGTTTATGTCCTATCACTAGTCATTGTTTTATGACATTGTTTGCCGTATCAAGCTACATTTTACGAAGTATAGATGTAAAGAGTTCACTTGGGTAATGTTAGTTTTTGTGATTAACGCTTTATCACATTGCGTGGGAGGGCCAAAGTTCGGCACATATAGGCCAGGCTCGCAATTCTATTGTTGCTTTGAGCTTACCGAAGCCCAAAACCTTCACTTCAAATTCGGGGGGGGGTTGCAGGTGGCCATTAGTAGACCCATCTGCTTGTTTGCCCCCTTTACCCATACAAATACAAACGTGACAACGTTAATAGTTCATTTTGAAAATGAAAGTGTTCTGAATTATTAATTTTAACCAATGATATTATATACAAACAAGATTAAATACGCCACCAACGCACACGCGAAGGTCCTAATTAGCACCACTGCGAGCCGGCGCACGTACTACTCGTAATTAATTCGAGAGAATTCATAAAATGCCTTCCTCTGTATTCCGAAAGTGCACAAATTAGGTAAGTGTATGTTTTGTTCTAAAATGCATGAGTAGATGTATGTACGGTTACGGAACAAATACCGTAACCTACATACATCTACTCATGCATTTTAGATCTATAACTGCACGCACAAAATATTTGTATTTTGTGCGTGCAGTATGAATATAACGTATCTACCTTAAAATATCATTGATTTTAACTACTTGTACCTTTTTCTCTTCATCGGTGAGGTATCCGTGATCATTAAAGCAGTCAAAGGCACGATCCGTAGGTGGGTAACGGAACGGTTCGTGGCCAAAGTTGAACCGACACTGCTGAAATGCCATGAAACTAGCAGCTGCGAAGAATCCTTGCCTGCCAAATAAACGTTTAATATGTTCTACAAATATACAAGTAACACGTAAAAAAATCGTAATAGTTACTGAACTGTACTAATACAATAAAACTGAAGAGATTTTCTATTTGATTGTTTGTTTAAATGAATAAGGTTTGAAACATAGTTAACGATTAGAGCACCCTTTTTCTGCCTATATTATACTACTATACATAACAGATCACAGAGCCGCAACAAGCATGGACCCGTTTTCTTAAATTATTGTTAAAGGACACTAGAAACACCAATTTAATATTTTGCAGTGATGCATGTGAAATTAAAAGCTCTGGGCCATAAACTGTGTGTAGTATAAATCTATACTAATATTATTAAGCTGAAGTTTGTTTGGATGACCGTGCTAATCTCAGGAACAGGTTCGAATGGAAAAAATATTTTAGTTTTGGATAGCTCATTCATCAAGGAAGGCTATAAGCTATATAACATCACGTTACGACCAATAGGAGCCAAGCATCAATGAAAAATGGTACAAATACGTCAAAGGACAATGGCAGGTCCCCATACATAATTTTATTTGAACTGAAATGTTAGCGTTTAAATATCAAAAAATCCTTAACACTTGAGAATTTATTCTTGACCATTCTCATATCAAAATTACTTGCGAAAGAAGTCTAGGAAAAAAGATATTGGATTTTGAATGTTTCGAGGTTAAGTACTAACATATTGTTAATGTTTTGTTTGAAACTAGATGGCGTTGTGTGTCAGATAGCCGAAAATATTATTTTCATTATTATTACAGTATATGAAATAAAAAAAATAAAAGCATAACATCTATTCGAGTTTAACACTAAATTAAACAAAAATAAAATAACAAACGTGGTGAGTCCGGAACTTGACAGGATCTAAACCACAGAATAAGAGATATGTACTAAACGACGACGTATCGACATTTTGAAAATATCGATGATGTCTATTTATGTGCCGTTATCAATGACAATGTATTTTTCTCATCACACTGTGTAGTGGAAAATAACGTAACTATATTCTATTTCTTTAGTGTGTTTAAAATCGTTTAAAGAGAGTCAAAAATATTTTAAATCATTTCTAATTATGTTGATTCAGTCACTCTACCGTACGAGTGAAGACGTGGGCAGAAGCAAATTCATAATCATAATAGTGAACCTTCGGTAAATATTTCAGCCAAAGCTATAAGAATCGATTATCGATAAATTGTTCCATAATATAATATTGCCACCACGCATCCCTAGTCAGTTATACGTGATGGCGAATCTGACATTACGTACTTAGGTCAAATAAAATCATCAAAAATATCTTATCTCTTATAAGACTTATACAACACATGGTGGTGTAATGATAAATCATAGAAAAAAAATTGATTAAGTTTACTGTGACTCGTTTTTTTAAACGCTTAAGTTTTAGGTAAATATGTTTCTGCCATTGTTCTTTGTTCCTTTTTAAAGACGCAAATGAAGTTACGCGGGTCAACTAGTAATGAATATTCACCTTGTAGTTTCGAAAAGTTCAGTGCAGGGTTTCAGTCGCTCTCCGTTGAGGGAGAATATTGCTTCCCTCATGTCCATATCAATGAGGCAGCCGACTATGTCACCTGGCTTCCAACCCGGGACTTCAGTCACGGGAGAAGGTTTCGCCTCATGCCATATTAGCTTGCGACATCCGTCATACGACAAAGAGTAAAGATCGTCGCCAATACCGTAGCCCTCCTTTAAAGAAAATGAAATGCAAACATGTAATACACAAGTCTTATGGCAAACACTTATGCCTATCAAACACTTGACACTGCAACATCAGTGACGTCATTTACATATGATGATCTTGTTAACATCAATCTAAAGAGTTTTAATGTCTCTGCATCGGATGGAACTTTTTAAAATATAGTTACAATGATACTGAAAGCATAAATATTGTTTTTAAAAAATTTATGACGTAAATTTACTTCATATTTTAAATACATAATAAGCAAACCATATACTATACTTATATTACACATTAATACACAAACAGTGAAATATCATGTATGCAGTGCGCGGGGCTCGATAGGTGATCGATGTGAAAATTTGAGGACAGCATAGTATACATTATAAATTCACGACAAGACGTCCGATTATGAGAGAGGCCACTGTAGGAGTGACAACTAGCTTAGCTTATGATATTTTTGTATCACCTTTTTATATAAAACATGTATTGAATTATTATATAGACAACCGAAAACGAGGCTGATATAAGTACAGCAAATCTCATCTCGTCTTTAATAAATTAATTAGATTATAATTGTTTTGTTAGTACGAATTAATTTTTAAGAATCACAAAATAATTAAACCTAGTCGTAGGAGTTACATGAGATTTGTTCAATTATATTTCTTAACAAAATAAAATAGGAAACAAATAGAAAACTCAGAAGCGGGAACGCTAGAAAATAGCAACATAAATTTGTCACGTACATAGGCTTAAAATGAAAACATTGATAAAAATATTTCGGTAATATTATATATAATATTGGGTAATAACTACAGACTTCATTGAAGCAACGTTTACTAATTCGCAAACAGCTAATGCAGTTGGTTGCTAAACATACATATACATATTTGACATAACGCCAGCCTATTACATAAACATACGAGTGATGACTGACATGGTTCAAGAAGTGGCTGCTTTTGGTCGCCCATCCGATTTGCATCACTCCGGGCGTCCACGATAAGACACTCGTAGTACCACGAGCCACTGTTCACCTGAAACAATATACGACATGGAGAATACTTCTCGAAATGGAAACCCTACAATACTATAAGAGTCCAATTATTAGGGGTATGCGGTAACATTTTCAGTTTAAGCTCTTGGTATTACAAAATATTCTGAGTTAAGTATACTTTATCAAGATTAACATTTTAAAAACTACTATGTATACTTTTTCATGTTCTTTAAGTATTTATATATATTATAGTCTTTTATTATATGTGTGATTGAGTTATTAAATAAAAAGAATAAAACATTATCAATATAATCACTTTTTAACTTAATATAAAACATTGAAAATAAAAACAGGAATGTGATGTCTACCTGGAATGTACATCTGACACTCTCAAACGAGTAAGAATCACACCGAGCCTCGAGTCCATCACAAGATATCTTTAGATATTCGCTTACGTCTTGTGAGTTAAGGATGGCGTTGATAGGGGACATATCCACTACCTCGTATGACAGCGGCCGGCCTTCTACTATAACTGAAACGATATATTAATAGGTTATGATTACGTTTAATATGATATAGTCTCTGCCCGATGGAAGTAAAGAAGAACAACTTTAGGTGACTTTGACTTTTTTCCTTTAAAAACATCGTCAAGTAGTGGCATTAGGTACGCGTACTACATACTTCACAGGCATGGATATAACATCCTAATAATAAACCATACCATGTATTGTTTTTCTGTAAACTATATAGATGCTTGGTGTACCTACTCTCCAAAAACTAAAAAAAAAACCTTCACCGATGACGCTCCTTATTATGACACGATATACAAACCGATTCGAGGATTGTTTATATCTATTTATTGTCTCAATTTCGTCATTTCTCATCAATGCACTAAGCTACTAGCTTGATACAAACATTTCAATGTATGTATAACATTCATCTGTAGTTCAGTTACCTAATTTAACGGCAACAGGTACACAAGGTAACGCGTTTCAAAACAACTAACATTTCAAATTGCCGTCTGTTTCAGTGCCATCATAACAATTTTAAATATTAGCTTTCACAAAATATTTCGAAAGGCTCGAAGCGTATTTGTACAATTTATACACAATTTAATTCATGGCATTTTTAAAAGTGCTGGTGAAACATTGATGGTTTAAAAATAATCAAAGCCAAGACGTAATTTGTTTGTTAGAAATAATGCAGTGCTTACATAAATTATCAAGTGTCCATTTGGCGCAGAAAACCCACTTGTCGCCAGGGGTAATCGTCACACTCGGCCAGTCGTTCTAGTATAAGCAGCGGATTCTCGTCCTCTCTGTTAAGTCTTTTTTTAATAGTCAGCTTATTTTTCTGTAGTGTGAGCGAACTTCTCCAGGGCGATCAATGCGAACAGGACAATGCATGGTTCGCGGCGAACAATCTGTGGCGAACGAATGCACGGTTAACGTCAGAAGTAATGACACTAATGCAAAAACAAATGATTATTAATTACAAGTTAGAATGAGGGGTTCACTAAAAATTGCAATTGAAGTCTATAGCTTATGGAACTTAACTAACCAAGAAAGATAACATGTATTCGAGAGTGTCTTCGGTGAGTACAGCGACACTATTAGGTCCAGCCAGTTTGTCGGCAATGCAGCCCAGAACCACGCAGATATTGCGCTCGACGCGAACATTCATATCGCCGGTTGTGGCACGCTGTCCGCACAAACCAAACAGCTGAGTCAACTGTAATAAACCAATTACAATTAGGTTTATGTACTCTATCACTCCTATTGTCCCATTTGACATTTTGTCTCCATTGTTTAAGGTCCAAATTGGGTAAAAGGACCAATGGAAATGGACGGCACTGATCTGGGTCATCACATGTCCACTGTTCTTTCTATTCAGGAAGGTAGGAGAATAAAGTATTTGTTACTTAAAAGTTGAATGTTTTGAAAGTAATTGAATAATTTAAAATACTAGCTGGTTATATCAAACACAAGATGGATAGCGCCTTGACAATGCGTTAGTTAACAGTAATCACTAGTTGAGTTGGAAGTGGCTTTTATGTATGATATTATGTTAGATCTTCTCACAGCGCAATGAAATGCACCGTAATTTGAGTACTACAATCATTCTAAACACTGATTTTACTTTTGTTTATATAACAAATAATATTTTAAAAGTTAAATAGTGTTTGTTTGATAAGTTCGTATGGAAAAATTAATTTATCATAATTTAATTTTCTATACAGTCATTATTTTGGAGAGTTCAGTATTATAATATAAATAATACTGTAGTACGATCTATTCAAACATTTAATTAAATTGGTCTTATTATCTACGATGTGTATGTATGTTAATTCACATTATTATTATTTGACGAACCGCATGGGCGTAGTGGTTCCTGTAACAGACTGCTATTCTAATGGTCGCGGGTTCGATTTCCGCTCAAGTCAAACATTTGTAGTGCATGAACATTAATGTTGATTTGGTCTGGGTGTTTCTATGTAGTAATATGTATTACAAAATAAAACAAAAAGTATATACTATATATCTATGTATTTATATCAGTTGTCTAGTACCCATAGTACAAGCTCTGCTTAGTTGGATAGATGGCGTTGTGTGAATGTGGTACAATATTATTATTATTATTGTACTTTAGTAACTACTTACAGTAACTACCATACTGACTGCTTAGGGACTATGTATAAAATGGCTAATATTATTAATTTTAATCTTTTAAATTAAAATGAAATTATTCCGATACCTTAATGACAGAATCTTTGGATGGTAGGGGGCAATCATCAAACACTATAGTGATGGCCGACGGGCCGAGGGGATCTTCCATGGGAATGACGTGCACCATCGAAGACACTACTTGGAACCAACCTTCCTCTTTGTCAGCTATAACATGTAGCTTTACTAGTGAAACTGGGGATTCCTCATCGCTAAAACAAAAATTAAAACATTACACATCACATCACATCGCTAAAACAATTGAGATACATATTTCTTTTATAAAACACATAATCAAATATATTCAACTGAAAACGTGACTCACATATTTGATCAACCGAAACTATTCTTTATTACGGAGACACTAGTTACAAAAACTTTTATATTAATACTTCTTAGATACTAGCCGCCCACCCCAAACTTTATCACTATTGCACATACCTAGTACAATATTTCTTTGTATGTACCTATTAAGATTTGCTCACGACTTGGTATGCATGAATTACCAATACATGTATTAGCCATAGTCATGACTAAGGCTCGTGATTTTAAAAGGGTGTCTCAGTCGTGAATCTAGTCTTAAAACTAATTTAACTGGAGATTTTATTACTGAACGTCACTTAAAACAAGATTCATCGATCCATACACAAGTGAGTGATAGCTTGTTTCAGAACGATGTTTAATGTCGAAATCTTTACTCAAGTACAGATTTTGACAGATGTGATCTTTTTTTAAGTGAGACGAGCTGAAAACTAGTCTCAAGCAGTGATTTCTAAGGTCATTTTTAGGGTGGGGCAAACCAGGGACTTCCTTTCTAGGGTATACCTGGTTCCCCGGCTCTAAGTACCCGACGACGGCGTGCGGTTTTAGTCGGTTCGAGTCCGACATGCCACCGACAGGTGGTATCCGAGGGGATTTCCGCACGGAAAAAAAGAAAAAAAGGTCATTTTAGGGTAATGAACGTGTTTTACAATGATTTGTTTTGAACATACGAACGTATGTAACACACAACTTGATAGTGAACGGAGATGATCATGTTCACAAAGTAACGTAGTCTAAGAAATCTCCAACTTTCCTAACTATTTGAAACCCAACTGGCTTTTACCAAAGAGGTCAAATACCTAGGAGTAATACTAGACAGTAAACCCCCTGTGGAATAGACATCTGGAAGAGAAACTTCTAAAAAGACTTCTATTGCCTGGAGGCAGGGAACAGAGCTAAGAACCCGACATAAACAAACTGTAACAATTTTAGCTCCGCGGCCGCTGGCTGTATGCGTTATGGCAAACAACCTCACTCAAGGTAGGTCTTGGTCCGGACTTCACAAAGGGATATCACATTTAAATAGATACATGAAATTGATCAAGTTCAATTCGGCAGAAACAAAGTCCGAATCTATAAGGATGGTTGCGTGCGATGCGCACCCTGAACCTCGTAACCCACGGATATTGACTTTTTTTAGCTGTACACTGAGTTAGTTCACTAAGACAGCATTACATATATATGTTACAAGACTCAAACTTAGAAGTGTAAAGCAAGTATTTTTGCAATAGTTACACTATCGCATTTCGATATACCTGTAATAAGTAGTAGTAAGTGTGGATACTAATAAAATAAATAAATAAATAAGACACCTAAATATAAACATATCACTAGCGTTAGGCCAACACAGTTCCATATTTCAATGCGAAGGCGTGGCAATAAATTACCATGCCCACAACAGTCATGTCAAAGGGTATTAAAGGCTAGGACTAGGCCGTCCTAAGAGCATTGGAGGGCAACACACTCTGCTATTGTTTTCAAATGACATTAAACAGACCTTTCTGTATGAATTACTTTTAATACATACAGGAATGACGCCGCAAATGAGCTGCCAAGGAGAGCCTTTGCAACTGCGGCAGCCAGCTCAATCATATTTCTACCACTGCCTTTTGACCAACTTCGCTCCTGGGCTAAACAATATACTCGTGAAGCACACAACCAGAGGTGCAAAACTCACCCGGCTGCAGACAGTCTAAACTGGTGTTGACTGAAGTCTCACCACAACTTATTTGCAGATTGAAAGGTCTTAGCAGACTAGACATCCTAATACTTGATGGGATACCTAGTAATGGAGTGATAACTATTCACCATTAATACGACGGACAGTCCTCTTGTGCAGAGGATGTCTGAAAGCAGAATAAATGGACACCTAAGTAATCTTGGAATGCGAGGGAGTGGCTACTCAATAAGCTAGTATCATACCTGATACAGAATCGCTCACAGAAGTCTATAAAAGCCCCAGGAGGTTTCTACGATTCTGGAAGGAGCTTGATAAGCTCACCTAGCCAACCTTTAATCTAAGAATAAAGGGACCTAAGATCAACCAATATCGGTACGGCTGTACCCACTCGGGCCGTCATCCCATCGGGGTTTGCGATGGGGCGGTATGTCTGAATCGATCCGATCCGGCAGGAACCTAGTAAATTTATTTTTATACGCTCCAGCATTGAGACTGTATTTAGCTTCATGTGGAGCCCAAATAATCGCATTACACTTTAGCTGACTTCTAACTAGAGCATCATACAGTAACTTTCTGTTCTCCTGAGTATAAATCCTAAAGTTCTATATGCCTTTTTACAAACATCAACGACATGATCACGAAGTGTCAGCTCAGTATTAACTCGTACTAAGTATAATTTTATTCTAGTTCTATATATTTTAGAAACATAGATAAAAAACATTGTTTTGAAATAACTTGAACGTACCATTATAGCTTATAAAAAAAATTAAACAACTTAGTTGTTCATGTGTTTACATTGCATACACTAGCCTAATTTTATAAATAGTATACTATTGTATACTATATGCAAATTCACAGAAAGTATGTTTTGATACATAATTATTTTTAAATAATTAGCTGCTTAATACGGAATAATAATGTAGGCATCGTAATTCAGAACAAACTGTAAGTTCAAATCAATGCTTGAGAGTAGTTTCAACTGAGTAAAACTTAAAACGCGTTATATAATAAGATCAACGTTAAAGTTTTGATCTGAATTTAAAACGAATTTCAGATAATCAGAGTTCAACCAATACTTGAGACGTCTTAAAATACGGGCCTACTTTTAAAAAGATCCCTCATAAATTTTAAATTTACGTCTAATGTTATATAGACCAAAGAATATATATTTAAATCAGTATCGTACAATTTGAGTGTATCCATTACAAATAAATTAACAAAACTTGTTTTTATAATAACAATAGCTGAAAGTTAACAGTACATATTTGAAGTAAAAGCATTATTAATTGGAGAAAAATTAAAGAGATTTGAATTCAAACTAATTCTGAATAAATATAGTTTTGAAATGTGAGCTACTTAATGTGTGACTTAATAAGATAAACTGAACTTAATACTGGTCTTGAATAAGACCTACTGTACTGGCAAGTAATTAGTACAATAGTTAATAGTTTTAGTTTCATTTGTCATCTACAGTTACAAACTTCATTAATTTACTCAAGACTTGTCAAGACATTTGTTAAGATGTGATGATTAACTATTAAGATATAGAATCTAAAAACACTTACTTGTCCACAAAAGATGCGATAAGCGTCAGCAGTTCCAATACAAGTTGATCAACAATGACGGGGTCCACAACTTTTGGGACACCAACGCGAGGTTCCATTGCACTTGTGGACGAGGCGAGAGTGCCCGGCGGCTCAAACGCGTCTTCTGGTGCCATGTCTTTGCACCAACATGTACCCATTACCTGTCAAGTTCATATTCTTGGGCTATAGAAACAATATACAAATACCAAAGCAAGCCTTGGCATATTAGCTAAGAGATGAGATGATGATAGAGATGGCCTTAGTTATGCAACTGTGTACATAGAATTGGAATAACTAATCAAACAGTTAACATTGTGTCATAAAGAGACGTTTTTCAATAAGGTTGGTATGGGAATTGGAATTCCACAAATTTATGGAGTGTGTCTATTCACTGGCAAATGTAGTTTGCTATCTCCTTGCAAACATATAACACATATCCTTGTAAGCAATTCAAATTACTTGCAAATTTCTAAAAACATTTTTGTTTATATTCAAGCATATTATATTGGCGAGAACTAACTAATTAATCTTATTATGTGTTCTATATACATGTTTGGAAATATTTAAGTATGATTATAAGCAGGCTGGTCACCATAGCACAGGCATTGCCTAGTTTGGGATCAGACTATTGTGTGTGAGATGTGTGAAGTAATTATTATTATCTTTGGTGTTTATACTCTTGATTGTCAGCACTTGGTGTCACAACTTTTTAAAATAATTATGAAATCAAACTCATTTGTACTTCTGTCCACTATTTTGTGATGTATTAGTACAAGGAGTTTGCACATGTACAGATTTTGGGGTCTCGTCTAATTTTTTTTATTCTTTTCCAATACCGCACTCTCAAGTACAACCCCCGGATCAAAGGGGCGGTTTCAGGGCGTCCCAAAATCAAAATGAAATACTTTTTTCAAAAAAAAAAAACTCACTTTAACAGTAATTGGGTAAAAATAGAAAAGAGGCTCTTATAAAAAAAGTTTTTGGGGTGATATTAAAGAGTGTTCTCATAAAACATTTTGTTATATGCCAATACAAAAAATCCCAACCATTATAGAAATTTTAATTTTTTTTAAGTCTTTATAAAAAATCTTTAAGGAGGACAATTAAGAAAGAAAATCGTAGATCGGGGGCTGCACCTTAGTAATTACCTGTATTCTGGAATTAAACACCTGATGCCAAATTTTTCAAAAATTTATGACTATTTTTTAAAATTTGCTAAGACTCACATAAAACACCATTTTTTAAAATTTAACAATATCAATTGAAGTCATTATTGCCTGAAAAAAGTTTATTTTTTTATTTTGTATCATTTTTTGCCAAACATAAATAAAATTTTTGATCTGTGAGGGGCGGTTTGATTGCTTGATTTTAATTTTTTACCTATGTATATTCTGTTTGCTAAGCCTAGCACCAGGGCAATAATTTCAGGTATTCTAATCTGTGTCTTTTTCTATGATATATGATAAAAAATTTTTAAGAAATTTTATCCCAGTTGCCTGATTTAGGGTGTGTGAATATCTCAAGATTTTACAATTTTTTTTTTAGTAAATGTTATAAAAAATTGTTATTTCTTAATATAAATTTTCTAATTCTTTAAAAAAAAAAACAGTCAAAAAAAAGAAAAAAGAACCCTTAAAAATTGGGCTGAAAAATCCCTATCCACTAACTGGCTAAAAAAGACACATGACTACATATTGAGCACCTTCAAACATGGCATGTGATTATTCTCTTCTGTATACATCATTTGTTTTGATCTAATTGAATACAAATGTAATCGGAAACTAATATTGTGTCTATCAAATTTTTTAAACACTTTGATGGCACTAAGGTCAATGGTGACATAACAATAGTTTTACCTTAAGACGCTGCGAATTCAATTTTTTGGCTGTATTGCATTTTGTTTGCGTGTATATAAAAAAAACCCCTCGAATATTCAGATTTAAGTTAACACACTTAGGTTTTTAGTTAAAAACCCCTTAACAGTGAGCTAAAAAAAAACACCTTAAAAAAAGAAAAATTTAGTTTACTGTGCACACATTTTTGTCTGTAAAAATGGTCACTTCATAATTAATTAGGCTATCACTTAAATTTTTCAAATAGTCTTTTATTTCAAAAAACACTAAAAAACACAAATTTTTCCTAGAAAAACGTTATTAGTCCAACGAAAAACGATTTTATAAAATTAGCACTTTATGTTACATAGTGCTTGCATCCTGATATGAAACGATGAAACACCGATAGCAAAAGCGCATGTACAAATCGGTCCCCAAAACACCCACGCCAACTTCCCCTACATCGCCCCCTATTTGAAATTTTTCATCCTTTTTCAATGCTTAATTTTTAATTAATAATCTGTTCATGAAATACTACTACAGACTGATAATTTTCAGTTTCACCATCTGTTTAATATTTTTCCATATGAATTACTTACCGCGGCTTTGTTTCCATTGGGGAGTATTCAATAAACACGTCTGGTTTAGCACGCCGTCGATGAAGAAAAGGAGCAGTAATTGATTCCCCATCCCGATAAATTGTAATGATGAAAGGTAAAATGAAACAAAATCTGTTTTCTTTACGGATTACCCTTATTTGTGTAAACAATTCCTTACTGAGACCTGGCAGAAAACGTCAAGTTACCGTCAAACTAACATTTTTATGTCCAATACTCCGGCTACCATCACTACTCATCTTCTCCTTTTTTATCTGTAACATGTGTACATGACACTCATTTATTTATGATTATAGTAGAATTCCATTATTGTGTTTTTTAATGTTAAATACAAAATCAAATGAAAAAAAAATAACTAAAAAAATTAATTATGGATTAGGATGTCATGCTAACATTTTTTTCTACATACAAAGTCTATGGTACCTACCAAAAGAAAAGTTTATTTGTCTATGGTTATTGTGTTGCTATAACGTAATTATTTTACGATGGAGAAGTAATTTTTTCTGAAGAAAAACTTTTGGAAATACATTATATTTTATTAACTATCTGTTTTCCATATAATGATAATGTGTTCAAGTTTGTATTTTTTGTAAAATATATTTATAATACATACTTTATTTTTCAGAAACACGGTTAACGTGTTTTCTGAAATCTCCTCTTTTCCGGAGGCGTTTTTTAACCGTCTTTTTAACTTACGCTTTATTTTTACTTGGGGCGTTTTATTCATAGGTTATATGCTATCTACCGTTTCTTAAGATTTGAAATCGTGATAGTCTTATAACTATTGCAAAGTTCTGCTTTTCTGTAGTAAATATATAGAATATTTTCTTGCTTATTACCTGTTCAGCATATTGCAGCAACAATCAACGAGGAGCCCTCAGAAATTACATACATTTTTAACATTATCAAGTAAAGTGATGTTAATCAACATAATTATTAAATTGTTCTATATTGTAAACACAGACATAGTCCGATTACAACACTAATAGGGCAGTGCAGCCACGTAACAGTCGTTGTTTTCCACGTAACTGGTGGTTGAGTTAGTTTTCATGAAGGTTGTATGGAAACTCAACCTATAGTACTTATAGGACTACTTTGGGTCGGAACGTAAATTCGATTTACGCATAATAAAACTTTTAGTTTCTCTGAATCGCATAAAAAAAACTCGCGTACAACGATTTTAGTAAAAGTAAAAGTAAAAGTATGTTGCTAGTGTTTACGCTGAGATAAGAAGGTTAATGGCTAAGGTCTGACAAGAGATTGGATAGTCGCGGTTCGCACCGGGAACTTATTATATTACGATGACAACCCACTCCTATCCCCTATAGCGTATTCTTTCATTTGGAGGTTTAAACCAATTAACCCTTATGCTTGTCAACCGGATAGTGGCGCTCCACTACTGTGTGCTTTCGAGATCACTTTTTGCCCCGCAAAACCAATCTGTGGAACGGGTTATCGTCTGCGGTATTTCCGGACCGATACCGACCTTCAAAACCTTCAGACAGAGCGTACTCCTTCCTAAGAGCCGCAACGCGTTTTTGGTGCTCTGAGTTGCCAGACGTTCATGGCGGCGATAGGTCCTTTCCATCAGGTTGACTTGTCTGCTCGTCTGTCCTCTCTAACGAATAAAAAAAAACTAAGGTACCTAGTTGGGACATCTAGATTATAGGACGTCCTTACATATCACTTTACATAAAATTTCAAACATTAATGGTTTAATCTTTGCCTTGGAAATTTTGCGGCCTTTTTAAACACCAAGTAAAGCGTGACCCTGTAAAGGTATTGGGTATTAAAAACTCAATAGTCACAATGCTTGGCCAACATTTAATGCTCCGTTAATAATAGAGGGGGTGGGGGGTTTTGTATTAGGGGAGACTCTGATACTCCCTCAGTGAAAAGCATGAATATTGCTTAACTTCAGTTCTGTAAGGCGTGGTATCACTCAGCTCCAGCGATTTGTGCCGGATTATGGCTTTTACGTACCACATATAGTACTTGTGTACCTTTTTTGTTTTTTTTTTTTTTTTTTTTTTTTTTTTTTTCAGTGCGATATCCATCGAATACCACCTGTCGGTGGAGTCGGACTCGAACCGACTAAACCGCACGCCTTCCGCCCGGGTACTAATAGCCGGGGAACCAGGTATAGCCCTAGAAAGTAAGTCCCCTGTGCAGTACTTGGACCTAGATAGTTACCAAGTCATACGACTTAGTTAAAGTAGATTTTACTATAATTTAATAAATACGACGTTAACAAAAGCGCTCAACAGTCCATCATTAGAGCCTTTAATAGTCCACTGCTGGACATAGGCCTCTCTTAGAAAGGGGTTTTGCCATACTATACACAACATGCCAGGTGTCAGATTACCATAGGAGGAATACATTACACGCAGTTGAGTACCTAGAACCATACTGAGCCCTACATATAAAAGGAGCGTCTAGGGCAGCCCTCAGATAAGTAAAAAAAACTATGTCAGAATACTCGAGAGTGTAAGATTAAGTATGTTGGGTTAATTAACATACCTACACATTGTGTATTTTAAGCAAGCAATTGTTTTAATTTTGGAAAACAACACTGTTAAGAAATCTTCTTAAATGTCTACATATTTTTTATGCCTTTTTTGTCACTTTTGTAAAAAAATAATCTAACCCAATTTAAAATACCCTGCAATATATCGTCAGTTTTTTTGCATCATGACAGTGGCATGAGTTGATGTAGAAGCCTTTTCCGCACCGCATCATTATATAACCTTTATCATTCTATCCATGTAATCTTTCAAATGCAATAGGTCCCAGACGCCCTCGAGTAAATCCCCATTTATGCATCATGGGCTCCCCTACAGGGTTTTTCAGTTTTCCTTCACTTTGCATTGCTGTGTGTCCCGCGTAGCTTCCACTCACTCAACATTAACCTTAATTTTAACTTAACATAATTACAGAATATGGTTGATAGCTCGCACACACATTACCTATATTTCTATTACCACGTGAAATACAATAGTTACTATATAAGGTACCTATAACAGATTGAGACAATTAATCTAAGCTGTGTTTGGTTTTTGTTGATTTTATTTGCAATTTATTTCTCTTCTATTAAATTATTATTATTTCAAAGTAATGTTAGTAAAAAAACGCCCCACGTAATTTTTACAAACACTACTTGCGATTAAAAAATTCGTTTGCTGCCAACGTATATTTATATTCTATTGTCTTGGTTGATACGTCGTTACGAATTTTCTAGTTATAGGACACTTCAAGTTGATAAATGGCGCGCTTTACCACCGCCAAGATGCCGACCTGAGTCTGAGGCCGGGCGGGTGACGGCCAGACGCGAGGAGGCACGTCCGGCCGCGTGAAGGGCGTGTGCCGGACGTCACGCTATATGGAGAATCCACCCGGGATAGAGCCGCGCGATCATTGCGGGCAGGCGCTAGGAGGGGTCCCGTGTTATTCCATCATAACAGTTCCCTCCTATTACAGCGCAGAGTGCACACCCCGTGTGGTTTTAGTTAGTCCGATTTCCGACACGACCACCCGCCGCGAATCCCGGTGGGGTGATGCCCAGGGGGTTTCCACACGTAAAAAAAAGGGTGCCTGAAGCTCGGATAAACAGCACATACTCGTGCTCCTGCATCCCCGAGAAGCCGGAGATCGAGCCGGCTGTTTTGTAAGTGGAATGACACCTCAATAGTCCCTAATTGTTGCATCGTTGAAACTTTCTAGGACACATTTTTTAAACTGGTTTTTTTAAATAACCAAGTTAGGTAAGAAACGAATGCCGAGTTTAAAGACGTGAAGGTTAACTGGGTGGGTATGGTTGTGGGCTTCGTTTTCCGCTTTAGACTCAGTGTAAGTGGTCCTGTTATGCGTCGTTACCGTGGTCTATTCCAGGGTGCACACTAAGTACTTAATCTACTATATACTACGTGGAGCACTAAACCCTGCGTAGAAGGATAGCTCTGGGTAAGATGTGATCGCAGTATATCAAAGTACGTGTGGTGCGGCACGTCTAAGGTACATCGCTTTCTTGGTTGTAAGCATCACGTAATCCATAATATGTATTAACAAAATCAGCTTAGTATTGAAGGCGTTTTGTTGACCTGCTTTCTCCGGTCGATTAAGCCGTTCAAGTGAATTCACTCAGGTGGCATAGAACACTTCAGCTGCTCAGTTCGGGAACACTAAAGTCTGTCTCATCTTCATATTTAGCAGAAGATTAAGTACTTTCTCGTTGGCCATGATATCACTGTGTGTGTAAAATATCAATGTATATGGGATTAACACAAATTTCCTTATAATTTTTTATAAAGTATTTATAAAAATAATCTATGACAATAGCTCCAGGTTTCTTTGCCTAATTTAAGTCATGTTGTTTTTAAATATTACTTTCTTTGACTAACCCTTAATTTTGACGAAAGGTTTGGATAGAAGTTTTTTCTTTTTTTTGTATATATGCTGCCCTAACAATAGTTCAAATTGTCTTTTATTAATCGCCTATTTGAGGACGTCCTTCGACGTCCGATCTCACCATAAATTAACACGACACATAAACACGGTCGTCCACATACATCATGTCTTTTTCTAAACTTTTTAGAAAAAAAAAAAAGTTATTAACACAAAATTGCACATTTAGAAAATAGTCACAGTTTATCGTTGACCTTGAGGCAGTGTTTTCTCTTTTCTCGCGAAGTATATCGGCGGACGGCTTGTTTCCGGCGGATAGTGGCAGTCCGGCCCCCGCCCGAAGAGATAGTCGAGTGGAGTGAGGCCGCTCCGCCGAGTCCACGATGGCTCGTTGGTCGTCCCGGCTGGAGTCCACGTTGCTGGCTTTGCCGCCGTGGGGAGCGCCACCGGTCATCGTCGAGTGGGCCAGGGCGGCAGCACGGGCCCTTTTCCTTCCGGCTGACGCAGGTCCTTTCCGGCCATGGCTGCTTCGGGAGTACTTGCACTCGGTCGCTAGAGGGAATATGAGTCCCGCCTGTCACCACTGCGATTGCAGTGAGGGACTCGGCTCGCACACGCTGGCAATTTTGCCCGGAGCAGTTCCGGATCCCTCCTATTAGTTAGTAGTTTTTAGTCGGTCCGATTCCGACACACCACCCGCCGTACCCGGTGGGGTGACGGCCCTAGGTTTTCCACACGTTTAAAACAAAAGTGTTCTCTTTTTAAATATAAAATATAAAAAGAGAAATTGTGAAATTAGGAAGAACACGTAGTTCTTAGTTTTAACCGCTTTTTTGTATGTTTTAACCACGGTGTGATATTTCTTTGAATATTACTCGCTGGTTGTTACACTGTCCAAATTAACAGTTTATGAATTAAACGATTATTCGTACAATTATTTTTGGTTTTCCTGGGACAAACATATGAAGTGCTAATAATTTATTTTACTTTATCTGATGATACCTTAGGGAGTTCATTTAAACAAGATTTCTTTTTAAAAATGTTTGTATACTTATAATAAAAACTATATGAACCATTAAACTACATTGATGAAGAAATCATGAACAGAAATGATGTTAAAGAGGAAATGTACTTATAATTATTTACATGAGTCCAATTAATAAGAGTGCGCGGTGCTGAATACCTATGCACGGGGGGGGGGGGGCGGGAGAGGGAAATCGTTCCCTCAAGGTGTCGAGTCGATGGTTCGGGTAGTAAAGCTGGCGGGCCCGCTGAGTCCGGGCGGTGCGATCGATAGACAGGGCGGGAGCGGCGCTGCAGTCGACTCAGAACGTTTTGGCGCTTTACGCCTTATCCCCTCGCACCACGACCACTCCTGGCGACCGCTCAGCGGCGCGACTCTCGCGACGATGCGAGGCGACCGCGCCGGCGCGCGACTCCCCACACTCAAGATCACGATCACTAAGTCGTCACTTAAAAGGAACAGACCAAGAAACATCGGGTTGTTCTTTGATGAAGCTCTATGAATTTTTTTGAAGCCGACTCCATTATTGTGGTCCGAGATGATGTGGGACTCTGATGAGGGTGAAAGCGAGGAATCTCAGGGTTCGGAGCGTGCGAGCGGTACCAGGAACTAAAGAAAACAGAACCTGGTGACCCTCAGTCCGGCCGGAGGGGTATACGGATATGGGTCCTATTCAATCGCGACGTACATTAACGGGAACAGCCTGGTGGTAAGCTGGTGATGTACTACTAGTTGGCGAGCGCTCAGGGACTGGGTTCACCCTAACAAAGCACCTGCAATTACTGCGCCGGCTGCAACGCGAGCGAATGCTGGCGATCTACCATCGTGCCGACTTGACGCACAGCCGCGCTGCACAGCCTCTCGGTGATCCCTGGGTTTACTATCCTGTCCTTGCCAATGACGAACTTATCCCGTCGCCTTGCCTTTGCTTACCAATCAGGTTTCGCGTCTCAAGCTGTGCGACAATAATCTACACACCATCGCGGAACGGTCACGTTCTGTCTCATGACGGGTAAACTGTAAAACCATACGATATCGAAGTTCCTAGCGAAACGTACCTTATTATACTTTTTCAATGTACCGTATTATGTATATTATATATATATATCTATGTAACATTTGTCATTTATGGTCTTGAGTGTGTATAGTATGAATGTATTATTATTTTTTTAAGTTCTCTTTGCGACCGTCTTTAAAATATTTTTTAAATTAATTCTGCGTTGCGACATACTTATGATAGTTGCCATTACGAGTACAATGTAGCTGTAGCGAATATCAGTATCATACATTGAATTAAACAATGGAAGTTTAAAGTAGGCGATAACACTTTAGATCGTTATAAGTAACAGTGACGTAGTAGTGTTACGTTTAAAATACGGGAGCATTTTTCTATATAAAGTGAGAGCACCCATTTTAAATTTTGGTCTAAACGTAAACGTTCACAAGTATCGGTTAATTTTTTAAATAATGCGTGTTAATTCTTAAACATATACTACAAAAATAATTAATTAATTTGTATAGAAGTAAAAAAAAAATATCATACTCCAAAATAATAAAGGACGAAACACACAAATTGAAAATTATTTTCTTATTTCGTTTTTTAAGTTACATTGCAACAATTCTTTTTCCTTTTATGATCAAAAAATAAATGATCTAATAGCTAAATAGGAGAGGCCGCAGAGAAGTTCGTTATTTTATATTTTATGTTTTATGCCCTACTAGTCCTATTGTCTTTTACAGTCTATGCACCAAAGAAAAGAGATTCTAATATAAACATACATATATTATTAAACATAACACGTCTCAAGCTTGTTCTCAAACCAAGCATATTTTTACAATCGTTTCCGATATCATCACCACCTTTAATAGTCCATCTGTACATAGGCCTCTACTTAGAAAGAGTACGTTTTAAATGTCAGTTTTCATGGCTCCAAACTTGATACAGTACAGTACAGTTTGAGACATTAGGATTTACATAGATTAAAACCTTCTTTGGACATCTTAACAACGATCTGGCGAGTGTATTTCAATTCAACCTTAAGTTTCTAATTTTTAAAGAATTATTGAGTAATTTTTAAACAGTGTCTTGGCATTATCTGTTTTAGAACCGTTAATCACAACATCAGCCTATCGCTGTCCACTGCTGAACGAAGGCCTCCAAAAGGCGCGACTATTTCGTCTTGGAGTGTCCGTACCATCCACTGCCACGCTGTTATATCCGCATTAGACAGCTAGAACCGTCATCTGAATCATTAGCAACTCTAAAATGAATCATATGTATTTTACATAGACTTCCTCGCAGAGCGGTATTGAACCGTCGTCACTTTTTCTTTCATCTATGGCTTTTTTACTTTTTGATAACAATAATTTATATTTTCAATCTACATTTCATATCAACTTTTTCTACCACCCCTTACGTAAGAAATTTCGTATAACTTAAATAATACGTAAGTACTACCACTCAATCCTTACAAAACGGACGGACAAATGAATAGAATCCACATCAAAAACCTCAATTTTTAAGAACCGCATAAATTAACTTAATTTTCATCTCGTGTTCTCGTTTCCAAAGCAGGTTATCTTTCAAGCTGTATCATATATATTACCTTTTTAAAGTTTCACCCATCTTAATCCAATACAATTATCATGGTGAATTTTACTTAACTGTATTATACTTTTCCCAGTTTTCTATCTTTAGGGTAGGTTTTTTCTTCATTTTTTTTTTATTTGTCCTGCGTCGAGGAGAACTTATAAACCCTATATAAAGGAAACCAACCAAAACCAACTCAAACAACAATTTTCAATAACACACCCACAACACTCACCACAGTAGAAAACGGTCACTCACTGTGATACTTTGAGATTAAAAAACATTCTGTTTGATTTTTTTAAAACTCTTATTAATTATCCAATTATGTGTAGTCCTTTTGGTAGTGATGGGAGTAATACATTTCGGCCGATTCTTTTATTTAGTGAAAAGATTCTAAGTACTATCCAACACTATTACTAACAATACTACAAACAACAATATTACAAAACTAGCCCACAAAATTGTCCTGCGCTTTTCAATCGCTTCACTTTTGGTAGGACAATAGCTTTTTAAGGCTCTTGAAACTAGCGACATCGATAAACTCTTACCCTTTCTTTATGTGAATACGCTGATGCTTAGCCATCGTCTCATTACCACTTTACCCCAAGCACGTGAGCCTCTGTGACCGTCGATGAGATGTCCCGTTTCCAAGCGCGAACCTCTGCTCTCATCCGAGATCTCATAATAAAGCCTTGTGAACGCTTTCCTCCCAATCTTCAACATATTTAACCAAAGCCGATACATTCTACCGGTTATCTACTATACTTTGTTCGCGTTATGAGGCAGTGAATCATCATTGTCCCCGGACTACCTCGCCCGACCAATTAAATCATTACTAATTAGAATTTTATAGAATCCATTAAACTTAATCTTTTTAAATATAACTATAATAAACTATCATAAAATCTTACATAAAAGCTTTTTCTGCAAAATTTAAACGATCATATCCAATAATGTCATAAACAACATCTTCTAGACGAACATTTTTCACTATTATCACGGCAACATAGTAGAATATTGTTAATAAACAGCCAATTATCACCATACCTGACTTCACTTGTATAATTATCTTCTATTACTAGTCCACCTGAAAAGCAAACGATATTTAATTTCCAAATTTCCTATAATTAATTCATAGATTTCAAGTGTTATGTTTCGTTTTGACTAGTTTAAAATTGCAATTGAACAATTCAAGTAGAAATTGGTAAAAGTAGTTTATTTATTCCAATTCAGTTTTTTTTTAAAGCTGATCTAATACATGGAGTTTAACGGAGTTTTAATTTATTTACCACCGTGGTTTGTAACTTTATATGTATGTACATTAAACTTATACCATATTAAAAATCTTGGTATCTTTTTTGTTATGAGAGGACTTCATAGAGCTTGACAGTGGCACTGAATTGATTCGTGAATATAACCTCCTTATCAAAAGAGAGGCTTGTCCACAGTGATTTGGATATGTAATGTGTCCCTCTGCGCCATAGAATTCTAACCAGTTTAACACTTAGCCAGTTCTATTTGCACCTATTTTAGAGCTAAACAAAAGTGCGACTATAGATTGAATTATCATATCTGTCCCACGTTAAGCGCCTATTGTTTTAATCAATGGATAAGACATTTTGTCCTAAAATATACTTGACTTGCAAAAACATTGGCTAAAAAAAAGGTGAATGAATATTTGTTTTGATAATTATTAATGCAATAATGTTTGATATTATGATATTAATACCCTTGAAGTGAGATTGAAGTGGGTAAAAATATCTGCAGTTGCAATTACAGTAAAGTAAAATTACTGCACGAATTAAAATACTGTATAATATTTTTGGTCAATCAAACTTCGACAATAGAGTCTTAATAGATGACTACATAAAAAAGAAAAGAGAAAGGTATGAAATTGCTTTTATTGAAGGAAGGCCTATTTTGAATACGGAATTAACAACAAGAAATTTATACAAATTCGAATACTTTAAAGTGATGTTAATAGTCGCTTTGCATCTATCGCAACGATAAATTGCTCTAAAATCCGCTGAAACTTTATAAATGACTCAACGCGACCCTCCTAACATACAAGATTCAGCAAAGTTTTGTTATTACGTTCTAGCGCTTAGCGCACACGACTTGTTTTCATGTAAACAATTACATCTAACATACTTTCACAATTTTTAACAACGATGCAAAGTCCGTAGGGTAAGTTTACCTTTTTAAAGAAATCCTAAAAATGTTATCCTAGATGTCGATTTTTCTTCTTTCCTTTCTTACCTCGTAGAGAATTTCTAAAAGCAAATGTGGACACTAACAATTTTCATATATAAATGCCCTTATCTGAAAACATAAACAGGGTCTGTAGTCAATTAATAAAGGATATTTTCCCATAGGTTTAATACATAATCCTTAATTACAACACATTTAAATTATGCCTTTTTTAGGCCGCGAATGTGCTTTATATTACTTTCAGAAATCTGTCAATATACTAAACTGTTATTAGTTTTTCTCATATTTTCAAATACGAGTATAAAGCCAGTCGTCCGTATTGGTGTAGCTTGGCTTTTTCCTCAGAAACTGCCATTAACATCATCTGTCCAGCCTTTTTCATAACATTCTAATCTTTTTCAACTGTCAACTTCTTCTCTTGAAAGGTAGCTCATATCAGCCAGTAAACTGTTGTACATCTGCAGAAGTTTGTAGTCTATGTAATGTAGTTCTATTGTGAGTATCAACTTTCATTAATTCTTCATTTTCTTTCAATAAAGTAATTATGTTTCATTTTGTTTTAATTTATAAGTATGTACGTCCCCGGGTACCTACAGTTTTTTAATGTTCCGATTGAAAATCTATTGTTAGTTTCAAAGTCAGCGTATTTCTTGCAAAGTATTCAAGAGACATTTATGCCACTCCTCATCTTTTTAAAACAG